TTTTTTTTTTTTTTTTTAAATTTCACTTTACTCAAGTACAAAGTATTTACAGATGATGAATACAATTTGAGGTTGCTCATAAAACAAAATACAACAAACAAATTTTAATGTAGCAAAGATATCCATGCTATCAAAGTTTTGGGTGACATAATGTGTGTGCCTTGTGTGCCTTGACATATGAACCACTGGTTGCACATAAAATGTCCAAATGATATTCTTTTTTCTGCCATGTATTCTGTACAATGTTTAGTGCAACATGTTCAAAGACTGGAGTAATACATCTTTGGAGGTTTCAATAGACAAAACCTTTTCTCTTTTTATTTGAAAAATTAATTTTTCTCTTTGATACTATATCAAGAATCAGGTCTGTAAGGAAAGAGTAACTTTTCGTTTATTGAAATCATGACAGAAATGCCATTACTGGTCTGACTAATTCTGCTACTTGTCTCAGCCTGAAACTAGGGCATTATTATCTTCTGTCTTTATATACATAAAGACATTTTCTAAAGAAAAGTTTTCCATTTTCTTAATATTAAAGTTTAAGAGTTTTAAATGACAATTTCATTTAAAAATGAATTCTTTTACTCATTAAGTTGTAATTTCTTTTTTGTAAAAGTCAGATTTGTATTTTTATGTATCTTTGGCAAATTTTGTTTTTTAGAGTAGTCACTTTTATGTAATGTAGTTTTTATTCATTTTCTTTTTTTCCAAGTGATCGAATATGTGTAGAGAAACTTCTGAGTACGTTTTGAGATTCGATCTTTCAGTTTTAATTGAATTTTAATGTTTTTATTGAAAATTTATCTGGGTCTTTTATTGTTTTTTGATTTCAAATGATTCGGAAGAATGAAACATATTCGAGATGCATTAATCGACTTTTACGAAACTTTTAATTCATTTTTCCCTGATGAGTTCTGAATATTAGGGTTTTAGACAAAGGAGATTAAATTTTAGTTTTTATTTCTATTACCAGTTTGCTTTTTTATTTTTCAGGTTTATTATACCTATGAATTCTTGTTAATTTTCTTTATGTTAGCTACAGTGTTAGACCTTTTATCCACAGTTGCAATTATTAATATTCTTAGGGAATTGCCTTGTTTTTATTCCATTTAATTTTGGATGCTTTATGTTTAATTTACTACAATCTTGCAGCTATGGCGCAGGACAGCTTAAAATTTTTGTTTTGGGCATATTATATATATATAGACATAAAGTAAGAAATTTAGAACCAATTTTGACGAAGACCAAAAATTGAAATTACTAAGTAGTAAATTTCAAATAATCCTATAAATGCAAAAAGGAATTTAAGAATAAATGTTAAAATATGGAAGAGAGATTTCAATTGATTTCAGTGTTCCTCCTCCTGATGAAGTGGCATTGAAGTTGATTGAATTCGCCATCTATTATGTTCTTTTTTCTTTAAATTTCATTGATTTTTTTATTTGGGTATTGCTTATTTGAAGTGTTTTCATTTTAACATGTATTAAATTATTTTTTCCATTTATAGGATTATTTGAAATTTACTACTTGTGAATTTCAATTTTTGGTTTTTATGAAAAATTGGTTCTAAATTTCTTACTTTATGTCTTTAATGATAATTTTTCACCAGCCTAATGCACAAAAATACTAGGCATGATTATATTTGTTTAAAAAAAAATCTTTTGTAATATGATTATTATATATATATATATACAGTGATGGCAATGTGGACCTTTGAATTTTATGTTTTGAACTTTTTATGTTATAGAACACGTTACGTTTCACAAATGCAAACGGTTATATATTTTTAAGAGAATTTATTACTGAATTCACAAAACAAAAATTCAATTATTGCAATACAAAAAAGTTTAAACGATATAGTTATCGATATACATTAGTAGTGATGATTGCAGTGAGTATCAGTACTTAGTAGGTACCCTTTATTTTTTTATTGCAGCTTCACATCGACGTTTTCATTGAGCTGACAAGAGTTTAAGCCTCTTTCGTTATTAATGATGCAGGAAACAATTATAGCCTATTAGTTCCCTTTATGATGGACGCCTCATTTGTACAAGAGTTTTCAAACGGTGCCACAAATTTTCGATAGATAGAGGTCAGGACTGTTTCCTGCCATGACAACAATTTAATGCTCTTGTACGAAACACTCTTTCGATATTTTGCCGTTGTGGCAAAGCAGAATCCGCTGAAAAATAAACGAAGCATTGTGGGAAAGAGATCTCTGATGGAAGGTAGAAGTTTTTGGTTCTAGAATAGTGTCAATGTATTTTATGGCTTCAGTGTCCATCGATGACATGTAGGCGACCAATACCATGCTGACATGCATGACCAATCATAACACTAACTGGGTTCTTCATAGTTCTTGAATGCAGTCAGGATGTAGCTCTTCTCCTATTCTACGGCTTACATATTTGCGCCCACACTACCGAATAACGATATCTTAGTTTCACTCCATATAACTTGTGACCACTGATATCTGTCCAATTAATGTGTTCCTTTGCCACTGTAGTCTTTTTTTTTTTCGTTGCTGAAAATTAAGATAAGGCTTTTTTCGTGGAATTCTACCTCTCAGTCCAAACATCTGTTAATCTTCTCCTGATTGTTCTTGAACTGACAGAAACACCAGCATCATTCAGATCACTTCTGATGAGCCATGATGACATTTTTCTATATTGGAGACATAGTCATTTTTCTTCTGTCATCAATAGATTGGTGCACCTTCTTCGGCCTTTTCCTTCTTTGTTTTTTTTTTTATTGAATTTGTCTCCTGAATATCGTAAACAAAACTTTCGGACTCCAGATGTAGTCACTGAACCACTGACCTGTCTTGCAATTTCAGCATAGGAAAGACCACTTTCTCGTAACACAATAATATTACATCTCTCTTTCTAGGTGTCCAATCTACTCTTTTATTTGATGTCATTGCTTCTTGACTAAATATTAAAAATTTTTACAAAATTCCTACTTGTAATTGCAGTGTATAAGAAACAGGTCCTCCTTCTACAGAACAAAGCAAAATAATGAATTGTTTCAAGTGTAAACATGATGTCAGCTTCTACTGGCAGTTACTAACATTGATTGGTTCTCAGAACAAGAACAGTGATTGGCCAGGAAAGCTAGACATTACAAACCACTTCATAACTGTGTTTTTTATTTGTATTAAAGTACATATAACTTTTTTTGTATTGCAAATAATTGAATTTTGTGTTTTGTATTGAATTCAGTAATAAATTCTATTTAAAATGATATAAAGTTTGCATTTTGCGAAACGTAACATTTTCTATAAGCATACAAAGTTCAAAAACATAAAAATTTCCAAAAGTGTCCACAATTTTGGCCACCACTGTATATGTGTGTGTGTATGTATGTTTGCTAATATCAGTTTTTATATTTGTGGTTTATGTATCAACTTTCTGCTTTATATAGAATCTGTGATAAGTAAGGAGGAAACTGCCAAAATACAAGCTTTTCTTGAAAATGAACAGAAACGAAAAATGCGATTTAAAGGGAAAAATCCTGCACGAGTGAAAAATATTGGACGTTTTCAAAGACCACATCAAACATTTTCAGGCATGCCAGCTCAGCAAACACAGGTGAAGAAAAGTTGTTTCTCAGTTCAATTTTAACTTTTTACTTTTTCATCTCAAAGCAATAAATCTTAATTTCTGTATTGGCATGTTCTACTTTTTTATTAGAAAAATTTTTGCAATAAATCATTAGAATTATATCTTAAACAAGATACAGTTTTTTTTCTTTAAAGTTACCTTAAATACTATATTTTTAAATGATATTTTCATTTCAGTATGCACCGTCTAATACTTCTCAGATGGCTCCAACTACTTCTACACAACCCCGCAAAATTCTTATTAATCCTCACTTCAGAGGATTGCGTTTACCTCCACCTACTTCAGACCAAGGTATATATCATTTTAAAATATCATATTTAGGTGTTCTGTTGTTATATTCATTTAAATAAATGTAATTTAAATCTGTCAATGCCATATTGCATGGCCTAATTTCTTGTACCATTAAATTTATCAAACTAACTTGCATACAATATTAGATCACTTAAAATGTTTTTTTATATGTCAGTTAGCTGGATCCAAGAAATTCAAACCTGTTCTGCTTGCAAACTGTGTCCAATTTCTTGGTTGCAAAAATAATGAAAGTTTGGAGATTTCATGCTTTTACTTTTTCCATCTGATGATCTTTTAATCCAATTGCCATTTTTTTTTTAAAATTTCATCTCAAGTGTTTTTCAGTACCCGAAAATAAGCATGCTTTTTAAAAATCACAGTTGGGTACCTATGCTTTGTGTTCCTTAAAAATTGGAGCTCTTGTGCCATGATTAGAGTGAAAGTGGTATATAACTGGGTATCTGAGCAATGCAGGTACAAATTATCTGTCATTATTTCAAAGAAAATTGGAGTGAAACCAAACTTTCTGATAAGCTCTTGCATTTATTTTTCAACTGTTTTGCCATGTGCTGATAATATTTTTGTTATTTTATTGATAATTTGATGTGGATTATCTGTTGTGGCTTGTCTAGAATCACAGGCATTCAAAATGAGATTGATCTTTATTCCTTCTATTCCTATTCCAGAATTTCTGAAACTAATGTGACATAGCTTTGTTAACTATATTTTTCCCGTGACACATGTAGTGGCTGTGTATTGTTTTTATCAGACTCCTACAGTAAACCGTGTTTGATGTACTCATTATAGTTTGCCATTTTAAGCCATTAAATGCATACAGTAATTTGACAAATTAGTTCTACTGATCCAGGCTGGAGATTCTATTCTAGTTATCTATGCTATCCAAGGCATAAATCATCCATTCATAATTCATAATAATAATCGGTTATAAAACACTTTTTTTCAAGAAAATCCTCCTTTTTTGCATGGTTCTTCAGTGTACAGCAATCTGTTTTTGCTTTAAAAAAATCAAGAGGCTTGCACAGATTTGGCATTCTTGTAGTTTGGCATTGTGTACAAATAAAAAACACACATATGCAACACTCATGCATGGATTGTCCGATACTTTCAGCATACACAATACTTTTTTTACATACACAATACTTTTGGCAACATTGTGGGTTACCACATAACTATTTTGGCAACTTACTGCTTTACCTTATAAGTACTTTTGCATGACCTTTTTGCAGGGGTGCAGATAATCCGAAAGTACCAGCTTGCTTATCAAAAAAGTAGATTTTTTTTTTTAACTGTAAAAGATAATTTATCAGCTTGTTTTAATACATTTTCCTTGGCCAGGCTGAAATATTCAGATTCAAGCAGACTTTCCCGTACAGTACACCTCACCATCATTAAAGAATTGAAACGCCTACATCAGTTTAGGGAAATGCAAATGTATTAAAGAAAATAAAACATAAACAAGTGTCATTTCATTTAAAATACAAAAAAGGAACAAATTTAAACATCCAAGTAGCAATATACACATACCATAGCTACCAACTCTTCTGGTGTAACTGGGAGACTCCCAGTTTTTCATCACATCATCATCTAGCCTCCCGGTAGATTACCAAAGCTCTCTGTTTTTAATTCGTAGTCTTTGACAAGAAAAGTGTTTTCCTGCAATAAATGAAATTTGTTGAATGAATGAAACTTAAATGGTAAAGATTCTGTTCTTGTACCCCTAGTGATTTTCAGAATAATTTTTCTTGTTCAATTGTATTTCATGTAAATGTTATTTTTTTCCCGTATTATATTTAATTGATTTTTTCTTATTAAATTATTACATTTTGTTGATTTTTTTTTCTTATTAAATTTCATTTTATCAGAGTTGTCTGTTTCTGCATCAGGCATTTTTATATCAAGATTCAACCAGTATTTAATCATTTAATGTTTATTTTTATTTTAGTTTATTATATGGCATATTAATAAATTTATCCAGATAAATATTTTTACACTAATCGTTAATTTTATTTTTATCATATTTAAAAGTGCTTGATAAATAAAATAAAAAATAAAATTTTTAAATAAATTTTTGATAAATAAAATTTTTCTTCTCTGTTCAGGATTTTCTCAGTGTAAAAGTGTAAGAAAATTACAAAATAAAATTAGCAAAAGAACATAAATTTAGAATATCTAATTAAACACAACTATATTTTACATCAGCATGGTGTTACAAAACAGGTTTAATTCAGGTTATTAGTTCAATAATCTGAATTATGCATTATAAAGTGAGCTTAAGTCATATTTGGAGCTCCTTTAAAATGGCATCACTGCACAACATAAAAACCTCCTAGTTTCTCCTGGTTTTCTTGCAAAAATCTCTTGCTTTTTCAGATTTCAAAATTGGCAGCTATGACATGCATAAATTAAAAATAAATAATAAAGAAAACTTTTTTATACTTGAGTTGAGCACTGAAATCTTTTGTTTACTTCAGTTATAGATGAATCTTTCCAATATTAAGCTTAGCCTCAATTATTTGAATCATGTTCATTCCCGAATACTCTTTTCACTGTAAATAAATAGAACTATTGCACCACCACCGAATGCCATCTCCATACAGCTTCATATCGTGATTTTTCACACAAACTGCATCAGTACACAAAATTTCTTTTCTTGAGAAAAATATATGGCTTGTTCCTCCATTGGAGGCAGGTTCCATATTGGAATCGTGGTAAAAATAATCAAGTGCCGTTTGTTAAAATTCAGTGTGAAGAATGTTGGGAAAGGGTTGCAGTGCCAGCAGTGTTGACTGAAACAATATTTGTGATTTGTCATTTGTACCCAGCTAAAGTACCTTGTTTTTTGTACATATTTAAAAGTACTTTATTTTTAAAAAGTATTTTCCTGACTAAATAAACTTTTGCCAAAATATTACTTAATGTGTCAATTTTAATAGTAAAGGTTTAAAATGTTTTTTCTTTTAATTTGTATTCAGCATTTAGATAAGCAGTTCCCAAACTTTTCAACTTATGGAGAACTTTTTAGTATCCTCTTATCAGTCTCAAAGATGGAGAACTTTTTAGAATCCCCTATCAGAGTCGCAAAGATCTGCATTTTACTAGTTTATGATGTTTAAGAATAGCATTACAAGAATAAAGAAAATGTATGGATACTAAAGGAATGTAAAATAAGCAGATATCCAAGCAGTTGTTAATCTGCCATAATATTTCAATTTATTCTTAATATGATAATCAGAAGTTGGACACACATAAAGGTTCTTCTAAAATTCAATGACTTGAACCAATTTATGTTACAACAGATATTTTGTGTTATTGCTGAGAGCATCATTAAAGTGGTTACAAATAAACTCTTTGGAGGTTGATAATTACATAAATTCATATATATGTTATATAATTATTTAAAATTCTATTTTTATTCTGTTATTTATCTTGTATATTCATTTGAAAACCTATTTTTTTAATTCTATTTTGAATTCTAGTATTTATCTTGTATACATTATTACAGTTTTTATTCTATTATTTTTTATTACTTGCTGTAAAAACAGTTACGATTTAATTTTATTATTATACTATTATAGAACACTATAGGTATGAATTGATACATAACCTAAAAAAAGATTTTAAAAAAAAAAATTGGCATTTGCACCTGAATGCGTTGCAGATTCTGTATTGTTTTGGTCACCTTCTCTTGAGTTTTCAGCCCAAAAAAATTCAAATAAGTCTCTCAAAGCTTCGAAATGAACCTGAATACTTTCTGTTCTCCCTTCATCTTCTTGTTAGTTTCTTCCTGGAAAGTTTCTGTAAGTGGGGTGCAATCATTACCATCCTTTTCTGCGTATTTTAATCATGTATTTAAAAAGAAAGTACTTTGGCATTTACATCAAAAACTGGGCCCTTTTTCCATTGCTATAATAGATTCATTTCATTCATTTTACTACAAATTTTGGTCAGTATGCCATTTAATATGCACCCAATCTTCATCATTTTAAACCATTGTCAAAATAGTGTTATGGTCCATTAGAAGTGTTGTTACCTCTGCCTGCATGTCGATGTTTCTTCTCAAGACATCCACCTTACTTCAGTATACTGCAGTGGTAGGTTCTTGCATTCTTCACATGCAGAAAACTTGTAAAAAAATCTCTGAAATATCACTATATTATTGCTATGAACTTTCACTGTGAAGCGACTTCATATCGATTAGCAATCTGTATTTATAAGTTTTGAGAGGCTTCAAGTAAACTCCAAGAAATCTTGAAGGATCAAGAATGAGCTTCTCCAGTATGCATTTCCAAGGAATAGTCACATGCCATCTGCTATAGAAAACCTGAAACTTGATAAATTTCCATATTCATAATAAAATTAATTTTTTTAATTTGATTTTACTTTTTGTTTCTTAATCTTTTTTAGTTTAAGTTTTTATCTATTTTTATCTAGTGACCGAAAAGCCACTGGGAGGAGCCTTTAGTGCTCCACATAGCACAGATTAGGAGTTGCTGATTTAGAATTTTATCATTTGGAGCATTTTTTTATTATTATTTTGTTTTTTATTGTACATTTTCTGCTCAATATTTGCAATGTATTGTCTGCTCATGTGTGTGTATCTTGCTTTGCTTTGTAGTTCACACCATAGAAGAAACTCCACAGGTATCAGTGCCACCTGTAAGCTATGAAACATCCCAAAATTTTCCACCTCCTACTGTAAGTACATGTATTTTGTTGCAAGAATTAGGCTTTTCGATTTTATTTATTTATTTATTTATTTTAGTATTTTATAATGTAAGGAATTGCCTATGTATTCTTATATTTTTTGGAGTTAAACAAATAAACTTAAAATAGTAAATGAAAATTTAAAATAAAGTAAAACTAATAAAATTATAATTTCTTTTATTTTTATTTCATGATCGGCAAATGCAGTTCTTGTTCCTGATTTTTAAACTAACTTTTTTTAAACTGTCTAGTCCATATCTGTGATGAAATTTCTTATTATAATTGGCATTTAAAGTGATTTATTTGTATTATGTCTTGCCTTATTGTCTACTTTTATGCCATATATTACAAATAGCAGCTCTGCAGTATTTATTGTCTAATTATTTGTGTTTATGTAAAACAGTAAATGTTAATATAAAAAAGCAGCCATTTATTTTTCTCATAGAATGGACATGACAATTAAAAGTGAATTAAAGACAATATTAAAACTTTGTTACAAAAATTTGAAGAATCTAAAAAAATTTCCTACGAAAATGATTTTTTAGAGAGAAGCCATCCATTGTTATTTCTAATAAATATGTGATACAGATTTTCTTAATGATTTACAAAAATAATATTTATAAATATTTTTTAATTAGTCAGAAAATTATAACTTTTCTTTATATAAAAATGGCCGTTTTGTTCCCTTTTCTGTCTTCCCCCCCCCTGTTTCTTTTTCTGTTTTGTTTGTTAGGTCAGTTAATATAACAGGCCATTTAAATTTATTAAATTTAACATGCAGCATTGGAATTGCTTTAAAAATATTCATTTAAAAATTATTTTCATCATTTTTTATGTTATTGAAGTAAATTTATTTATATTTCAGTATTCTCATGAACTTCCTCCTCAAATGCCAGCTGCACCACCTGTTTTCAGTACTCCCCCACCTTCAGTTCCATATAAACAGCCAGATTATTCATCATCTCATATCCAACAGGTATTTCACAAAAATTAAAGAACTAAAGGTTTATTTAACTTATATTTATATATACAGTCAAAAGTCGTTAATCCGGACTCGTCGGGACTTCGGCGATTCCGGATTATCGATTTTTCCGGATTATAGATCATCAGTTTAAATCTGGTAAGATGACATGCAGAAATTACAAAATTAAAAATATGAACCGTAATTTATGAAATAAAGAACAATTATGATCTAAAGGGTATCAAAATTTACAAAAAAAAAAAAGCTTAATATTTATTTGTTTACTTTATAAACATTTCTTTCAATGTAAGTTGTTTAAGTTGCTTCCTTTCATGTGATAATACTTTCTCTTTAATTCTATTAACAGATATTTCTTGTTTAGTTACAAAGTTCCGCTGTTCAAATCCTATAATTGCTTTAAATCATATCAAAGACGAAGTACATCGACATGAAATACTACGTTTAGTAAGGAATTATAAGCCAAATAAAATAAAAACATCTGCCATGAAGATAAGGATAGTGCTGACACATCAACTTCCAATTCATTACGCGTCTCATCGTTTCCCTCCCTCCCCCCGCTGCAGAGCAGCGTGAAATTGATAAACAGATTTTGGATTTCGAAACATAGTTTCGCTTTGTAAATCCTTTACATATTAGTAAATATATATCGGGAATTTTATTTGACATAATCGAAAGTTCAAGCTTACTTTTATAAAATTGCTCTAACAATCTGCAAAAAAATAATAAGCCGGATCCAATTCGAAGATTAAGGAACAACGCAATCTGCAACATTAACTGAATTAGATAATTTTAGCTTACCTTTTACCGTCCGTTATACATTAAACGCGCATGCGCACACATGTATTTGCAGCCGTAAAGGTCTTACGCGCACGCGTAAACGCCTCTGCGTGTGTGTCAAAGTGACACATGCGCAGAAAGTTTGTAGCTTTGAGGTCCGGATTATGGGTGTCCGAATTAACGACTTTTGACTGTGTAACTTTATTATATATTTTACCTTGCTTTTCTGAAAAAATAACTAAATTATTACTTTGTGTATGGTATGATGAATAAAATTTCGTGAATGTGTTCATAAGAAAAAGATTCTTTAATCAAGAAAAACATTTTGTAACCCTTGAAATAATGTCTAAGGGTACTTTTGATAACAGTAGTTCACTTCCCAAGACCTGCAGCCAAAATTTTGTTTCATATTGCAGAGCACCTTTTGTCACATAGCTTTGAATGTCTAGAACACCTGAACTTTCTTAAGGCTTTTTTCAAGTGAAAGGAGAAAGAAAAAAGGGAAAAAAAGAAGTTTGCTGAAACAAAATGAAATGGGTAGCTGTTGAGGGCTACGAGGCCCAAATGTGGCTGGGCATTATCATTAAAAGGAACTAAAAGCCCATTTCAATGTATTCTGAATTTACACGAGGAATTCTCTATAATAAATTTTTCAAAACGTCTGTTAAGTTAGTGTGCACCACCTATTGTAAACAAAGTGTTGCATGCATACATGTTCGTAATAGATTAAATGCACAAGTCCAATAAAAAGTTTATAAAATTTATTCTGATCTCTAGAAATGTAACAAAATGCTGGATTTTTCCTCAGAGATATCTGTACCATATCACAGTATAACACAACATAATCAGTAGCAAATTTTAAACGTTAATAGAATGCATTCCAAAGGGCAGAAAAAGCTAATCCCATCAACTATAATAACAACAACTGAGCTGAGATAGTTTCTTTCTAAAATTTTCATTCGGTCGTGAAAGAGTTCTAGTAATTTCTGCTTCTCGAGATTTCTGGAAGGCAAAAGAGTAGATGTATGGTTACAACTAACACAGTAGTCAATTACATTTATTCAATTTAAATATAAATTATGGGATATCTATTTGTTAAATGTTAAATGCGCGTGATCCTGTATTTTTACTTTTCTGACATAGCTTTCTCTTAAAATATGTCTCATGCTGCATTGCACGGGGATATAAAACAATTTTAATTATAATTCTACTAAAAATAGCTAACCAAATACAAAATCCATAACACTATCCCCTTCCCAAGGATTGCATGTACGGGGCAGTACAATTCCTGGACATGAAGCAATACTTAAAACTAAAACATCGATTCAATAGTACACATAACATTACAGTAACAAACAACATAAACAATTATTATAATAAATAACTTAAAACAAATCAAATACTAAATAAATAAATGAGTGCACAAATTTAGAAACAAAAAGGATCATGGTCTTATACTATTTACACTATATGCACTACGTACTATGGAGTAGTAAGTAAGGAGTAGGAGCTAACCTGTCATAATGAACAACTTCAGGCTTAGTTCGATAACTTAAGGATCCAAACCACGATGTCGCTCCTGTTTATGACTGTGTATGGACCATCTCAAGGTGAATGTAGTTTAGGACAGAGTCCTTTCCGTCGAGTCAGATTCCATAACCACACATTGTGTTCTTCGTTGAATAGATGTCCAGTAGCTCTTGTGTCGTATCGGGCCTTCATCTTCTCCACTGCCAAACAGGGCCTGGAGATCTTAGATGTATTCCTCTGGCAACAAATATGTATCTGGATGGCGACCAAAAAAGAGATCACAAGGCAGACGAAAGTCATGAATGAAGAGCATCTGTGATGGGGAATAGCCGGTAGTCTCGTGCGCACTGCGGTAAGCCAGTCAAAACAGTGGTAGCCTCTTGTCCCAGCCCTGTTGGTTTCTGGAAGCCACCAATGAGAGGTTAATAAGGATGGTTAAACTTCTCTTCCATGCCATCTGATTGGGAATGTAAAGGTGTCGTTTGAGTTTTGTTAATGCCAAGTAGCTTGTAGAGAGAGTTCTTTGATTACAGCCCGAGGTAAAATTACTTCCGTGATTGGAATGTAGCTGACGAGGCACTATAAACCTGGAAATCCAGTACTGTATCATTACCCCTGCTATTGTGACAGCTTCTTGATTAGGAATAGGATATGCTTCAGGACACTTTGTGAAGAAAACAATGACAAGGAGGATGTATTTGTTGCTGTCAGCAGTTCGTGGCAGAGGTCCCAAGGTGTCAGAGGTGATACATTCAAAAGGCGCTTCTACGTTGTAACTTTGTAGCATGCCTCAGCTGCGTTTCTTTGGTCCTTTCTGACCCGCACAAGCACCACAAGTTTGGCATCACTTTTGCATGTCATCCTTTGCATTACTTCAGTAGAAGCGCTCACAAACTCTCTGCAAGGTCTTCATTGTTCCAAAGTTGTCTCTTGTAGGGCTGCTATATAGTTCTTTAACCCTTTGTGGCTCAGAGTTCCACTACATGGAACAGTGGAACACCCAAATTAAATCGCTTCTGAAACCTTTAAATTCAACTGTAAATAGATTAAAATGCCTTTATAAAATACTTTGAACTTTTATTTTTAAAGAATAGATAGCAGCATATCACAAGGAGACACAGAATTTTCATTTATTATGTGTTATTAAAATCCACTTTTTTTTTTTTTTCTTTTTTTTTTTTTTTTTTTTTATGATATAAAAAATTTGATTTGGAAAAAAAAATTTGGCATAATTTTGCTGGCTGTACTCCAAATTATTTGTTCTATATTTTTTTAATCTTTCATACAAAAAACCATACGCAGAATCATTGAATAAAACCGGGTGTTCCATTAGCGGGAACACTGTGCCTTTAGCGATGTCATGCTGTTACGAATCAGAACATCTGTGCTTAGGTGAGAACATCCGTTGTTTACGTTTTCTGTTTCATTGGGTTTTTTTGGGGGGGAATGAATTCAAACAAAGCAGTATTGAGGAGTAAGGTGTGTTTTGTGTTATGAAAGCCCTAATATTGGCATCTCGAATTTTTTTAGAGTAGTTTTTAGGCGGGAATTTTATTAGTAGCTTGACTCATCTTTACTTAGACCTACGCGAATTTTCGCGAATCCACCACCTCATGGAACACTCACAGAATTAAAACGGTTAAGTGCAATTTTTACAAAACTTTACCTGTATACTCCTTTAGGACTAAATAGACTGCATACAACTTTTTTTGTTGAAATTGTCGCTTTTTAGTCTCATTCCCGTTTATTTTCAATAATTGTGTATATATTTTTCGTGTATGTATATATTATAGGCTTATTTTTCTTTATTGTTAATATTAATCGTAGTTAGTTATTTTATTATTAATTTTCCATAAATGGCGTGGAGAGGTCTAACTTCCCGAAGCGCTAAAAGTGTTTCATGAATTACCCTTGGATTACAGCCCAAGATTTCCGTTTAAATTTGCTGTGTTCCCTCTGTGCCATGTAAACGTCAGAGATAACTTTGAAGAGGCGACTTCCTTCAAGACCTGAAGATACTCCCAGGCATAAAGTAAAGGTTTCCGGGGAAAAACACTACAGTAGTGTTGAACACATACCGGTGAAGGGTACGCGTAGACGATGTGCGCATTGTAGCACGAAGCAGAAGCCGCACAAAACAAGTTTTATGTGCAAACCTGCAAAGTTGGTTTTTGCTTCCATCAAAAAGGTGTGACTTGCTTTGAACAATTTCACGAAGCTAAGAAATAAGAAAATTTGTAAATATTTTTGCATATAGGACTTGTGTATATAGATATTTATCTCATTATCCATATATATTCAAGAAATTGTGTATATCCAGAAACCTGTATACAGCCATAATGCAGATTTTTTTCATTCTTATACAAACGCTTCTACTCATCGGCTTCACTTTCGGGCTTCACTGCAATACTCGCTTAGTCGCACTTTTAAAAGCTCTGGTGGTGCAGTGTTCCACCACCTCATGGAACACTCACAGAATTAAAACGGTTAAGTGCAATTTTTCCAAAATTTTACCTGTATACTCCTTTAGGACTAAATAGACTGCATACAACTTTTTTTGTTGAAATTTTGACGTTAATGTATAGTGCGCCACAAAGGGTTAAGGACATTCAGAATATTGAAAGTATCATCTGCCATCGGAAAGTTCTTTCATCATCTGATTCGAATTTCCGGTACAAGATGCCATT